CTTCTGGACAAGACTGATGGCTCGTCAATAGCATTAGCCAGCATTGCAGGCCTCACTGGTGTAGAACCAAATCAATAAGGCCCCAGTAAAAAGTCTTATATGTGTATGTGGTCCATCCTAGCCAAGGCTCATGTTACCACAGATGATTTTTTATAAGAATTCAGGAGTGACCATCTATTTTATTCCCTTTAACCCCACATTTCCTGAGCAAATGCGCGAGCAATTAATAAGTGCTTCTGCTCACAGTCATCCAGTCTCTTTTAGTATAATTATGAATTGCACCCTTCAAAAAGTTGAGAGAAATGACTCTCTTCATTGTTAAATGTGAATATTTAAATTTAGCAGATAAAGTAGTGGAATATAAAAATCTTTACTGCTCTTTCCCCTTAAATTCTGGTAATTTACCTTTAATTATAGTGTGCAATTACCATCAATTAGCCCTCAATGACAATTGATTTTTGCTTTCAGTGCATTGACGATAGTGGATATATTCTTGTGGGTATATTTGAGTGATTTTTCTGATGATACATTTCACATGTTGGAAGAAAACAAAATACAGAAATCACATTTATTAATGTTAGTATATTGTATATAGCTCACTTACAGAATTATTGGTCTGTATTTGTATGACCTGCACATACTTCTCTGTTTTGACTGATAATTTCATACAGAAACACAAACTGACCTTTTTGAGCCTTGAGAGATTGACATGGTGAAGTATAGCAGAGTGCTGCAATACTGTCTGGTTGATGTGGTCACTACTTTATACATTCTTCACTCTACTATTGATATGGCATATAGATTAAAACAAGTTTTTCAGAACGTGATTTGTTGCTTGAAGGGATAGGGATTTTTTAAAGTTATCTATCTATCTATCTATCTATCTATCTATCTATCTATCTATATATATATATATATAGATATATATACACACACACACACACACACACACACACACGCACACAAAAGAGAATGACAGCAGCTGATGTTGCTTCTGCCTGTGCAGGATTCTCATAAAATTATAAACTAATAACAAAATAGATACCAATTAGACCGTATTTTTTCTGTAGAGTGTGTGTAATTACAGACTTTTAGGTTGGCCTTCTTTCTCTGTGTCTGCCTAGTTTAGTTAGCACTTTCACTTTTACGGCTTGATTTTTCTTCAACTGCATGGCATTGCATGTTCTGTCTGTAGTGGAATTGGTTCTTTCTGACAGTACTGACTTCCTGCCACAGTGAAAAGACATGCAATTCTGTTGAGCTGCAGACGGGACAGTACATGATACGTGAAGACATTTACAGCCATAAATGCTTTGCAGGCACTATTGACTTTTATTTGAATTTTTAAGATAACCTCTGTAACATGCAGCCTCGCTTGAGTTTCACTGCTGCTTGTGGCTGGAAACGAGAGCTATGTCCTATACGTTCCGCTAAATGTGAAGGTGAATGTGAGCTAATGATTTGTCTTTTTCTCTGGTAGCCACAGGTTGACAATGCTCGAATAACAAATGTGATATCTTATCGTAAGTCAACCACACTTAACACAATTTGCTTCGTTGCGTTGGAAACCTATTTCTGAAATATAACATTTAAACCCAGCACATCATTGACTGATGCAGACTCTGCAATGGACTGACTCTAGGCCAGATAGACAGATGGACTGATGGGCCTGTCAACCTCTCTACCCCCCCCCCCTTGGCAGCACCCTTTCCAGTTCAGACACAACAAAGCTCGCCCCGTCTGTCTGTTTGTCTGTACGTACACACACTGCAAAGAGCTCTGCTTCTCAAAGGTCAGCCGAGGGCTAGCGTGCTTGTCAGGCCAATCGATGGCTTGCCGCCGCCAGAAACATACACCGTAGCGGGGAGGTCATCTTTGCGGCGGACAGCGCCCACCACCTCCCTGGTGGGAGGTCGTCGCCAAGAAAGGGAGTGTGTGTGTGTGTGTGTGTGTTGAAGATGGGTGGCTGAGGATATCTGTGAAAAGTGGGGGGAGTATCCTTTACTAACTCTGCATATAATCAATACCATCTAGCGCTATATTTCTGAAATCTAGTGTGTGGGTGTGTGTGTGTGCGTGTGTGTGTGCATGTGTTGCGTAGTTATCAACAATGACAGGATCAAGGAACTGGTGTGTGACAAAGAGGAATGGTGTCTAATTCAAGGTCAACAAGGCCTGTGTCACTCCTTCCTATTCACAGAGGGGAGGGAGGAGGCATTATGTTCCTATTGGTTACCAGAGCAAACATGACATCCCTGCTGGAGCTCATATCAATTTGTAATTTGACCCCCAGTCACAGCAAATGATGTCAGTACAGGTCGCTTTTGCAAAAGGACCCTGCATTTGTCCGTTGTCGTTGTCAATCTCTGTCTGCGGTGTCACTTTGTTCTTCTATTGTTACGCTGTTTTTTTCCCCTTTGACTGACGTTAATATTCATAGATGTTAATATTCTTCATTTCATGTGGAGTCATAAATGAAATTGTTGATGGTTTGCTAGATCTCGTTAATAAAGGGAGGAAAGGGTTATTCATTGCTTTTTTTTAGTTCGACCAAAATAATTAAGCCAGTTTTAAGTACTTTTAGTATACATGTCTTCCCATAACATAGTTGCTTCACAAGGGTATTTAATTTAATTTCAGCATATGATGCTGTATGTCCTTTGTTTCCCTCTGTCAGTGACCATCTTACTAATTTGCTAAGACCAGCAGCACCTTCTCCTCATGCCAGTACATCTTTTAATAACTCTATTAATCTAATCGTCCACTAATTGGTCAAGATAGCCTTTTCCCTTGTGATTTTTATCATAGAGCAATTAAGAGCCGGGTAAAACCTGCTGAAATCAGTGTCTTGTTAAAATGGCTTGATTGACACATTGTTTTGGGGCTCTGCATTTTTTTCTACATTATGGAGAACGGTGTCTTTTCAAGCTGCTCTAATCAAATTAAATATAACAGAATTTGAATACAATTGCGATGACAAAGTGCCAGTGATTGATAAATCTTTAATATAAAAATTGTACAAGAATTCTGATACAAATTACAAGAGGTATTTGGACAAAATATGAATAAAATTCCATTTACATCCCAAAACCCTTATGCATTTTATGCAAAAACCATAGACAGTTATAATACAGAAACAAATACAAGAAAGGCAAAAAAAAAAGAAAGAAAAGAAAGAAACAAGAGTCTTTTAAAAAGAGGACCATTTTTTCCGTCCTATCTGCAAATGGGAAACACCTGTTTAGGTACATACAGTATTCATGAGGCTTCCAAATCACCATTTTGACGCAAGCTCCTCTGCTCTGTTCATTCTTTGCAGTGCGACAATGTAGCCATGCAACGCTGTCGAGTGCCAGTGCCTTAACACAGGCTTTTTAAGACGCAAATGCATTGTATACACAAAAACACAAGTGAAAACATAAATCAAAATTCACTAGGTCTTCAAGCTTATTTATACTATAAGACTATAAAATATAATTGGCACAATGGAAAACATTAAATGAATTCATTCTCGATATTTCACAGGTTCCAGTTCAAATTATTGAGGGTATGTTTTTTTTTAGAACATTTCACATGAGACTGAAGCATCTATACAAATATGTGTATTTTTCTTCTATCTGCATATTTCTTATGATGTCCCATCAAACATTTGAATCCCGCTTTGTTCCATGAGCTACATTAACTGGACAGTTTGCATGCGGGGTCACCTCTCATCCTCTCCGCTTACACCTATATTGTACTCACTCCATCCGTGACATGAACAAAACGGACCGTGATTAACAGGTCAGCTGCTTCAGCCGTTTTGCCATCCACGTCTCCCACTGTGTGCCATGTAGAATTACAGAATAATTGATGCCTGACGCTCTGATCAAATATTAAAGATTCACTCCAGTGGTCTGGGCCAATGAGGCGCTCTGAGTGACGTGTTCTTGCGGATCCACAGCCCAGTCACTAGGTAGCAGAATGCACCTGGGCCCATGTGCTTGGAGAAGTGAGAAAGACAAAGATTGGATTGGGGGCTTTCTCAAAGGAGAGGGGGGGGGAGAATTGGTGGTCATTTCTCAGAGGAGAGGAGAGTATAGGGGAGAGGGGTGCAAATGTGAGGGGTGGCTCGATCGCTCTCCGTCAGGCAATCTAGACGAAGCTGGCGATGACTCCTGGGGAGTCCTGGCCCTGCTGCTCTCTTGCTCTCTCCTCTCCCTGTGTACCTCTCTTTCTCCCCTGCCTTGTTTAGTGACTGCCGCAAGGCTCCAGCCAGACCACTTTCTAAGCCCGATCCCTTTCCACAGTCTCTCCCTTCTCTCTCTCTCTCTCTCTCTCTCTCTCTCTCTCTCTCTCTCTCTTGCCGTCAGTCTCCCCGTCTCCCAGAGGTTCGCATGTGTTCTCAGCTCTGTTTTCAGCCTTTTTGCAGCTCTTGAGCTCTGCTGGCATCACCAACACCATGCAGGACTCGTAAGGAGCCCGTAGGAGGTGGGCGAAGGGGGCTGTAATCTCTTCTATGGTATTCAGTTTTCAGCCTAGCACACACAAGTACACAGACAGAGGTCGTGCACAGCTCGTGCACAGCTGTTACTTGAGAAATGGACAGCAAGGAACAGAACATAAAGAGTGTGAAAAGCTGAGTCTGAAAAACTTTTCTCAAATCAAGAAAGGCATTGAAGCTGAGGTTAATAGGGCAGAGCACACTTACATTAAGATAGCATTTGATATGTCAGGTACGAGTCCAAATCAAAAAGCTTGCTGGCTTTTTTTATTAGATTTTCTTAATCAAACAGTGTCCTCTCTAGGTAAAACGTCTCCAATAATTATCGGTTGGATATTTAAATTGAAATAATAATAAAAAAAGCATTAGACTTTCCATTCCTGACTCAGCGCTAGCTCACATCATTCTTCATAATAGAATATTAGCTTTCTCTGTAGTGGCAGATGTTAATGCAAGAGTTTCATTTCCTGTGGCGAGAATATTCCTCTGCCCCCATCTCCTCCACCGCTAGAGGTTAACAAGTCATCTTGTTCTTGTCATCTTTCTGGCCCGTAAGTAGGAAGCATGTGTGAGTGTGCGCCACTCTCCTCTGTGTGCACGTGTGTTTGTATGGTTGTGTGTTAGAGAGACAGCTGTCAGCAGGGTTCCCGGAGTAGCACTTTTTTTTTTTTTTTTTTTCTGCCAGAGCGAGGGCCGGGGGGATTGAATGAATGAATGAGGCAGCAAGCGCCTCAGTGAAACCCACTCCTGGGAGAAGGCAGGGGTTCCTGTACTCAATTTTCCCTTCACTTGGGATAAACAGGCAATTACCCATCCCTTTTTCCTACGCCGTGGCCGTCCGGTGAACTTAAGCATACACTATTAGTGTGTGTCCCTGTAGGACCTGCGCTGTGGGGTGTGGAGGTGGTAAGTGAGTGGCGGGTTGAAGAAATGGGTAAGGCGGTTGTTAAATGACTGCCCTCTGACAGACAAAGAGAAAAACAGAGCGAGAGAAAGGAATTGAATTTAATTATCAGTGACCCTGAATAAGAATAAGCACACATAGAAAAGGAATAGATGAATTGGATTCAACTAAAATGAATGGGTCAAATTTAATTGTTCAGAGCCCACAATGTCGTTCCTTCTTATTCTCTTTCTGTCTGTGTCACAGTCTTGTCAGCAACCTTGGAGCCTGGCAGTGTAACGAAGTGACAAGTGAGTTATTAGACAGAAGAAGCTGGAATGGCAGGGACGCCTCCAGGTAACGGAGAAGCAGCACAATTTTAATGATCGTTGCTGTCATCCTTTCCTCCCTAGTCAGCCTTCCACCTCCGCAACCTTTCCATCAGCCTCAGCTCTCTGTCTCGCTCCCTTTATCTCTGAGAAGAGAGGACTGAAAACTGCATGTGTCATAAAGGTGGAGTCTTAAAAAAATAAAGACATGAAATATTACACTAGAATAGGTCATGTCTATATTGCAAAATGGCTTAAGTATGAAATAAATGGAACTCAACACTGTTATGGATGTAAGGTGTTGTGAAGACTGTACAGCACACCACATAACACTGCATATTCTTCCCTCTGTGTGTAGCACCAGTCAAGTGAGAGAAGATCTCCCTGTATAGTAACACAACGCATTGCTAATACATTGATAAACAAGTCAAACTGAGGAACAATCTCTATTTTTTTGTCTTTTTACAAAAAATATTCTTATACTGGACAAAAACATCTCCATGAAGATACATCACCCACCAATAAATACCCCTTCCCTTGGCTACTTTGCCCAGTTACTGGAAATAGTTGTACCGTAAGACAGTCATGGACATGTTCAAAATGTCTGCAAACAACAGCCAGAAAAATGGCAACATTTTTCAAAGAGTACATTTGTAGCCGACACTCAGCAATGGCAAACGATACCGAAAATATTACAGCAAAAGATTTAAGACTGAAGTGCATCATATTAATCCAATGGGGCATGATTTAAGTACACGGTGTCACACTGAAAGAGCTTTTCTTAAGCACTTTTGTTTTTGGTCACAGTTGAATGACTATTTTCATCTTTTTTCTCTTTTATCTCTTGTTTTTTTCCAATCTATGGGACAGTCATATTTCATTAAGATGCCTTTTGTGAGAACAAACATGAGTTCTTGCATTGATGACTTTGTTTGACAATGTCACAATAATGCTATGCTTTACACAGATTTCCCCACTAAACCTCCTGAAGTAATAATCGTGTTCATAACTGGCAACCGTCCACAAATTAAACAAAAAGAGGAGGAGAGACTTTATCAATAATTGACTCCTTTGTGAAACAGCAGTTTATGTTCAGTCATACTTTGTTTTGAGGCAAGAGACTTTGGAGACGCTTTCTGAATACGTTGTTTAGCGGGGTGGGCAGATCTCAGCTTTTGTTCAGGGAGGCAAGACGTTTTCTGTTGTGAAACTGTGTTTGAAACTGAGCACGTGCAAAAAGAAACTGGCACAATTATGTTGAAGGTATTATCATTTACCTTGGCACTGTAGCCATCAATGACCCCGAATAACACCTAAACTCACCATTGCAAAAGTCCTCATTATAATAATATTACACATCCCCTTGTATAGATGCAAAGTGCAAAAACTGAATTTGTATACTAAAGCTCATAAACATAACAGACAAAAAAAAAAAATAGAAATACAGAGAATGATATCAGTGTAGGAGCCTAAAAAAGCATGCCGGCAACCTCTGAATATCTAACAAGTAGATAAAACAAGTCACATGATATTCTTTTTTTTCCTAGGACTCAGTTTAAATGTGTCTTTGGAGCTAACATAAATGAGTCAAGCTAGTAAGATGCTACCTCTTTCTTGCCTATAGCTGGAAGTATTGTACTGGACTGTAACATAAAACCATAACGAGAGAGAAAAAAGAAGCAAACAACCATCAACACAACTCTTTTACACCAAAAGCCTCTTGGGGACATTATTTACAAATGAAGCTGTCATGCTTTTTGTAACGGGTTCATTTAAAAGCTATCATTACACAAATACAACAAGAAGATTTTCTTATTTTTTTTTTTTTTCAATACTATCATTTCTGCAGGCAAAGTCACAAATAAGAGTTTGAATAGATTCTTTGGAGTTTGACATAAAAACAAAGTGGGGAGAAGTCTGAAAGGAAAGATGGAGGAGTTTATGAAAAAAAAAAAAACGACTGGAGTTTTGTTATAAAGCAAACTCCATGCGCAAGAGCGTCTTCCTGTTCCTCCAAAGAAGGAAAAGTCAAAAGTCACGATAATAAACTGTATTTAGAGTCGATGAATTTTATAGAGGGATATAGAAATGTCTTGCGATGACTTACAGAGGACGGGCAGGAGGCATACAGGCATTTAGCTTGTATTTGATGGCCCTGGGCTGGGATAGAAAGCTAATTTGAGGAGGAATAAGGATGAGGAATGAAGGGAGGAGTGGGCCGACTGACAGCAGGGTCGAGTAGCAAGTCATTATTTAGTCTATCATTGTAGAGAAGGGCATGTTTTTATGGAGGTTGGGGTTCTGAGAGTGTCGGTTACGGCTGCGCACAGAGCTGAACACCATGTTGCAACCGGGGATTTTACACTTGTGCATCTCGCGCAGGTGCACAGTCTTGTAGTGCACACGCAGGGTTCCTTTGTTGCTGTACATTTTATGGCAGATGTTGCAAAGGATCCCACTGCTACCACCGTTACTGCCCCCGGTGGACGAAAAGAGGAATGGTGAAGAGGAAGGTACCAACACCTCACCATGTCCTTCACCTCTTAGTTCTCCAGTCTCATCCCGATGCCTTCCTTCAGCCTGCCCCTCGGCATGCTGGGAGCAGTCCTCCCCCTCGCTGTTGCCCTCCTCCTCCTCCTCTTCTCCCTCCTCCTCCAAGTCATCCAATAGCATGCCTTCGTCGCTGCCCTCATCTGACTCATGTGAGGAGTGGACACTGCTGCTGGATTGAACACTGGATGTGGTGCTCAGGTCCAACACCATGTAGTCGTCTGGCTGGCCCCGGGAGAAGCCGTTGGTGTGGTGGTTTTTAAGGTTATGGTTGAGAGGGTGGTGGGGATACTCACTGCTCATCAGGGAACGGGCATTGTGGTTCAGGCCAGTGGGCCGGAGGCTGGCGCCTCCGATGCCCATCCCGGCATATGGGTCCAAGCCCATGTGGTGCCCGGCGTAGATCTTGGCCAGTAACTCGGCTCGCAGGTCCTTGGGCAGTGGCGGGAGTTGGGGGTCCAGGACAATGTCGTCCAGCTCTTTGGTCAGCAGTTTGCGGTGCAGGTTGATGTTGGAGCTGTGCCTGTGGGGAGACATAGTTGTAAATCAAAAGGCTCAAGTGTATGAGGAATTAAGATTACCTCTCAAATACCAAATAGCCACATTGTTAAAATTCATGTATTTGTACTTCCATATTGTAAACTTATCTTAATTCTGTGAAGTGGTACCAGGTTACAAAGATTAAATATTTAAGAACCACTAGATATTATTGTTACTAATGTGTACACACAGACAGTCACACAGAAACAGAAATTCATCCTGCAGTTCTCCTCGGAAAAAGATTGCACAGAGAGCGAGCATCCTGCTAGTGTTTACCGCTGTCAGCATGTCTGCACTGCACAGCCCTCAAATCCAATAGACTCTGACTCAATTAAATACTCCACCATATTGAATGGGAGTTTATCAATTGATTCGAGCTGTGGTAATGTGATAATCGAGGGGAACTGGATAGCATATTAGCACTAGGCCCTGACAGCATTATCGCATTCATTCCCTATTGGAGGTGGCTTAATCGAGCACCTCAATGAACATGTCTTTATGTAGCCCTGGATTTAATTAAGATGGCCATTTTTCCCAAACACAAGGCTAACTGTATCACACAATGTACTACAGCTGATAAAAGAAACTAAGTAACAAGTGCCATGCTTAAGCCAAAATACAATTAGTGAGAATTTCAGTTAGCAAACAAAGCCATGCTACAAGATGCAGGTGAAATGCGCTTACAAGATCTGAGTCGATGCCTTTTTCGCTCTAATTTCGCAGTTACCAAGTCAGACTGAGAAAAAGGGGACCCACTGCACACATGTCACGAAAAAAACTGCATAACACAGAAACAAAACATAAGCAGCTAATTACCTGCGTCAGGTATGACATACACAAGGCCCATTCCTCTCATATCGGGTAAGCACTTACATCAAATAAGAAAATAAATATGCAAACACTCAGTTCCTTTAATGTGAGGGGTTTCCATGCAGGGAGGGCACGACTGTGTAAAACAAATTCAAAAAAAAATTCAAAAGAAAACGGTCATCCTGAGCAGGATGGGCAAAAATGGAGTCACAATGGATAGTAGAGCTTACCAGCAGTGGCAGGGTTGATGCAGTCAAAAAGGGTCCCTTTCCTTTAATTATTTACTTCCCTATCCGACATTGTCCTGCAAGAGGTAGAAATACATTCATTTGAGGGACCCTTTTCTGTGAACCAGGCAACCAGGAACCCGTCCACTCAAGCATCGTCAGCATTGAGGAGAAAGAGCGTGGCAAATCGATTGGCCGTGGCTGTCACTGCATGTGTGTGTGTGTGTGTGTGTGTGTGTGTGTGTATGCACATGCATGAATGTCTGTGTGTGTGTGTGTGTGTGAAAAACAGAAAATATACTACTTCCATGCAGGACTTCGATCAAAAAGACTTCATAAATCCTTTGTTCTTTTTTGTCCTTTGATAGTACAGTTGAACCCATGTGGTGTTAACTTATGGCTATAATATGGGAGTCATGATTCAATGTCTGTGGCGCTGTATCCCGGCCTTGTCAAACACATGTGTGGACGCTTGGCCATGAGAGGTCAGAGTGTTTTGAAATAGTCTGAAATATACTGTAGTCAGTGATCAGTATGTAAGGAAATGGGCACAATTTCTGCAGGGATACCAAACAGGCTTTAACATGAAGAGGGGCCACAGATTTGCTCAGTTAAGCCTGAAGCTCAGGATGCTGTTGATGATGCTCAGGTAGGCAGGTCCTTTGCAACATGTCTCCATCTCTATAACAACACCTTCTCACTGCTAATAAGCTCTAAGTTAACCATGTCTATCTCAGTTTTAGATATTATAGTTAAACATGCTAAATATCATGCAGTAAGTAGTCTGCGCTATAGCCATCTTAAATACTCAGAAATGCACACCATATTCAGAATATTACAACAATTTCTATATAAATAATATTCACATTTACTACATTTTTATTCTACTATACAGGTATATGAAAATAAAAAAAATGGAAGAAAAAGGCATTTTATGATATATCATTTGTAACCATTTGGAAATGATTTAATCTCAAGAGATGAAGAGGAGAAGAAGAGCCCAGTTTATGATTATTTGCATCAACATTATTATTTAGCTCCTGTGTTGACAATGCCTCCTTGCCCTGAAAATCAAAATAAGTCAGCTGAATCCACACACAGTGGGCATAATGCACTTATCCCATCATTTATCAGATTTAGACTGTATGCCCCATTTCCCACTCCCCTCCACCTCCATCACTACACTTCTGCACGCTGTATCCTTCCTCCCCCAAACCCAACTCCTGAGTGCCCCCCCCCCTCCATCTCCACCTCCCTGTTGGCCAGTAATGTGGCTGGCAAACCAATTTGACAGTCTCATCTTTGCCCAAAAGATGGGGGAGGCCTCCAGAGAGCCCATTTTTGACTGTGCAGAGGAGGTAGAGCGAGAGTGTGTCCCTCCCAACCGGCGTTAATCATCTTTAGGTTCGTCTGATGGCCCTTGCCCTTGTTTTTGTGTCTGTGTGTGTCTGTGTTTTCTAAATGACTCATAATGTGTAAATGAGATGGAAAGCTGAGTGGTGTTAAACTGACACGAGTGGTTCTTTGTCTTTCCCGTCATTTGGGGTGTGTTATGAGGTTTTAGGTATAAGTGGGAGGACAAGAGTTTTAGTAACATTTATCACTCTCTGTCATTGTTATATCTGCTTTGCATTGTTTCAGTGTGTTCAACAGCATGGGCTACAAACAATGATTTGAAATGACTGCATAGACATTAAATATGCATTAAACATAACATGAAAAACATTTTCATGTACTAGATTTTGATTAATTATGTTATTTATCTAAGAATAAAATAATTCCTCTTATTCTTTTCTGATCTGGGGTGCGTGGATTTTGCTTACATATTCTCTCTATGAGCAGCGTGCCCTTTGTTTATAAGAGACAAACAGAGAGCTAATTGTGACGCAGTAGAGCCGGGCCCACATGCCGTAAGGGGACCGAGGGAGGGGGAGGGAGACAGAGAGAGGAAGGAGAGGGGAGGAAAGAGACTCTCCAACGTAATTAACCTTCACTCTCTCTGCAGTGGCCCATGCAGGGACCATGGGCTGCGCACTTCTGCACCATGGGAATGTGGAAGAAGCTACGCGCTGTGGCGACATAGGAGGAAGTTTAACTGTTGGAGGGAAGGTTAAAAAAGAGAAGCAGGACCAGCAGATGAAAATGAGATAAGTAAGGCAAGTTTTGCCAAAGGTTTAAAAAGTATGAATCACAAGGCCAATAATGGTTATGATTGCTGTTACGCGCGTCTATCCAGCAGTTAATCATGCAGCTTCCTCAACACTTCTGCCGACGCTGCTCGCTCCCCACAATAAATATGCAATCATTTACCACCGGGCAGCAGGCAGCCTGGAGGCTGAGAGAAAGCACCCCACCGTAAAACCACACATACCCACATTCTCTTATGTTGGTCTCCGTTTTACACTCAAAACACAACCATTACATGCTTGCTCAAGGGCACATTTAATCCTTTATCCTTTCCTGCATTCCTCCGTGTGTGTATGTACAGTATGCATGTAAACTAATGTGTGCATTCGTGTGAAATCATAAAGTCTTCTAAATAGGGCAGGTATCCAAAGTGAACGAACACTAGTGATACTTTGTTTCCGTGGCAGCACATTCATAGTGTGTCCTACTCTGACAATGTCATTGGCTCTTGGTTGTTTTTCTCAGTAGATCAAATGACCTCTCCTCCTTTTTCTTCTTTACTTTGATACGAGAGCTTTTGATGCTGCTGTCTGATGGTGTGTTTACGTGCCTTTGGCTTTTCACTCGGTCAATGGGCTAATCAGTTATGCTGAGGTACTTGGACTTCCCTGTTGCTGGATGTCAACAGCTCTGTTTGGGAGGAATTGAGAAGAGGAAGCCAGGCAGGGTTGCATATTAAAATACTGCTTTAGCATATATTATTGATCTGCAAAAACAACGACAAATAACCACAGGGTTACCTTCCTCATATTAAATGTGGTGATTTTTGCAATGGTTATTTTTTATTTTTTAAAGAGGATTACTTTGTGCTAAGTATTAAGTGTTCCATTCCTTTGTGTCTGAGGTGAACAACCGGACAGAGCTGCTTATTTATAATTTCTGAAAAACACTGTTTTCAAAAAAACAATGGAGTTTGACTTATCTAATTTAATGCACATTCTCAACATTATTTTGTCCAAATATCTTCATTCATGCAGTGTGATCTAATGTGCACTTATGAAAACCTCTAAATTATATTCCTGTTTTATTGCCACCATTACACTCAAACATACATTATCTCATTAGAGGATTATCCAGGGACAGATTTGATGCGAGCCCGGTTTGTGTATTGACTCGTCTCAAAGCTCCAGGATTCCTCTAGCTTTGTAATGCCCTTCTTTCTGCTTTTTTGCTCCCTGTTTGAACCAGTGGCAAAGTAATATGTCCCATATGTTAGCAGGAATTTATCCCCCACAGAAAAAGTATGGAAACAATAATGTGTTTCGGTGTCACCCACCCAGAGCTATATTGTACACCCCCGGCCTTAAAGATGCTTCATGTTTTAAGCAATTGTCCCTCTTAGCTACAAAGTGGTCTCTATCGCCCATATGTTCTTCCACTTTATGTGTTTGAATTGCATTTACATGCTGGTGTTTTATCACGGAGTCAAACTGTCACACACACACACACACACACACACACACAGACACACAAACATCCAGGTTGACACAGGAAGAGAGTGAGTGTACGAAGAGTTCACGTTGAGATGTTTTTTTCTGTGTAGTATGGTCTAGTCTCTAAACTCTCTGTGTCCGTCTAAATCCCTCCACTCACCCCTGGATATGATACCAAACGCCTGGCTGCATATTTGTGAAAATGCACCTCCCCCCACCATCCTTTCCCCCTCTTCTTTTCTGATGATTATTTATATTTTTGCTGTTGTCATTTATTAGAGTTTCCAGGAGTCATGACAGCCGATTCCGGGATGAAGGGACAATGTTACATAACTGACCAAAAAAGCAGTACAGCTGTGGGAATTTAACTGTCAAGCACCAATACAATTCTGATCAATATCTGCTGATTACCAATGGAGCTAGATTCAGAAGTTGTTTTTTTCCAGTTTACAAAACTACTATCTGCCATTGGAATACTTCCTCATGTTAAATTTCCCTATAATGTACCGTGAAGCTCTCATCTTTCTCAGCTTTTTTAAAAGTCAGTAAAGGACATTAATAATCCAACAACTCTTTGACAGCATTAAGAGAATAATTACAAAGAGATAAGGTTTAGAGGAGCGCAAATAGTTTTCTCTGTTATCCGTTTTTACGTGTGTGTGTTTGCATCTGCATGTGTGTATGTGCATACACATGTTACACAGCAGGTCGGTCAAGCCTCAGGCATTCTTTATTCCTAAAGCCTTGTCAAAAGAAGGGAGCTAACAAACTGGTGTCAGTACACCACACTGAGGCAATGCATGCTATAATAACCCTTCCTGTCATCTCGCTGCTGTCGGCACAGTTGCGTCAGGTGAGCAGCAGGGTTTCACCTTCACTAATGCTATACCTTGTCTCCTGTTCTGCTCCCCCTGTTCCTCTCCCACATCCATTCAAATAGAGTCTCTGAATCACCTGCTTTCCTTTACATGCTGTTAATGAACAAACCGGGGTAGGAACAGATGCCACCGAAAAAGCATGTAATGAAATGCTTGGGGTGGAAAAGGAGCAGTTTGGGCGGATGATGGGGGGGCAGAGATAGTGTGTGGGTGAGACAAAACATACCAAGGGAAAATATAAAGCTCCCTCTGGGAAGATTTGTTTCCCAATTGGAAGCAAGCAGTATGTTGAATTTGTCCCCTTCCTTATATCGTTACAAGACGTTACAAGATAAATCTTTTTTAAATTTTTTTTATTTGTTTTCCATTCCCCTGATGAAAACAGATTGAGTAAGGTTGTTATATGAAACAACTAAGTTATATTAAAAAGATGAAAGAAGTGTGAGCATGAGAGGTGTTTGAAATTGTAAAGGATATTATTGATGTCTATGTAAAGGATTGAGAAATTCTGCTCATTAACCATGTCTGGATGTTGGCCAATACAACACTTAAAAGTGCTCCCGTGATGCAAAAACCCCAGTGGTTTGTAATCCCCTAAGGAGCATGTGCTTGCCCAGGGCACTAGTGATGTTATGTACTTCCAGCATGTGTTATGGCATCAACCTGCTGCCACTTCTGCTACATGTATATTCTGCAGAGTGAGTGTGTGGGACTGATATGTGCTAACAAGCCCAGGTGAATATAGCTAGCCTCACCTCATAATGCGCTAATAAATGCAGTGGTTTGACAGACTGCTGTCTATGTTAATATATGCGCCTCCACCTCTCTATCACAAGGTGAGGTAGTGAGGGCAGGTAAACAACACACTGCAGCTACAAGGTTGATGGGTACAGCCTAGTGCTTGTTTAAATGTGTGTGTATGTGTTTTTAATCCTGACACCCTACTCTTCTGAACTCTGACTTGACAAGGAGCAGATGTCCCTGAAAGATTTTTTTAGTGTTGCCTTAGGTAACAGATGTTAAGTGATAGCCTATCCAGGTAAATGTCATACAGTACTGAAATACTGCAGCTAAATCTTTTTAACATGAAATGAAAAGTCACAGCTCTCACGAAAATGCTAATATCTGTTGATGACTTTTATGAAACCATTATATCCCTATAAAATAAACGTATATTCTGTAGATTCATAAAGTGCTTTCAATTATAATAGATGATCAATATTGAATTAAGCATTTCCATTGAACCTACCTGCGATTGCATTAAAATAAAATTGTTAAAGTTCTTACACTAACCTGTCTCGGCTCCGCCGGGAAGGGAAGGCAGCATTGCAGCCAGCCACAGTGCACACATGCATCTCTTTGAGGTGCACATTCTTGTAGTGTAGTTTCATGCTATAGGAACTCTTGAAGTTCTTCTTACACACATAGCAGATCTTGGGGTCAGGACTTGAGCATGGGTCTCCCTCTGGTGATTGAGAGGAAGGGAATTTGGGTGGGCTGGCACCGTAGCCCATTGAAGAGATGAAGCTCTCATGTAGAGCAGCCATGCTTGCAGCAGCAGCAGCCGCCGCCATTCCTCCATTATAGAGTCCATACTGGCCCATGCAGAACATGTCGTAAGTAGGATCGTTGAGTTCTTCCTTGATCCTGATAGGGGGCTGATGAGGGGAGGGTGAGGAATGACCCTTGCCTTCCATTTCCTTTCTCAATTGGGCTTCTTCACAACCCTCATCGTCTTGTTCCTTGTTCAGACACCTTCCACTCCTACTGTGTTTTTGCTGTTCTTCCACATCTATCAGCTCATCACGATAGAACATCTTGGAATCAGAGGTTTCAGATTCGTTCTCAAAGTCTCTTTCATGGTCCTGATCCTCAGAGGTGAAGCTGCCCATACAACGAAGCTCGCCAGAGCCTTGAAGATCATTTCCACCCCTGCTTTCACTACCAGTCCCTTCCCTGCATTCATCTTCACTCTGTCTCATCATTCCTCTCAGAGCTAGGCCGGGGCTCATCTCATCCTGGGAAGGGGATTGTTGCTCACTACCACCACTGTGGTTTCCAGTACCACTGCCACTGTTGTTGTTGCTGTTACAGTTACCGTTCATTTTGACATTGTTATGTAGAAGCGTTGAGTGATGGTGGTGATTATGGTGGATGTCATCGTCATCATCATCTTTGTCATCGTATTCATCCGCCACATCAATCACTTCTTTCTCGATCTTCACTGGCATGCTCGATTTACGGGGCTTCTTTTTGGGCGTGGGTTCACTGTTGCCAGTGTTGAGGTCGTGATTGGCTCTATGTGTATGCAAGCGGTGGGACATGGGTCCTACCTCTGACATATGAACATTATTGTGTGAAGCCCCTGCAGCAGCCAAGAGATGTTGTTGTTGGTCCATCAGGGTGGTACTGTTGGTGGTTATGGGCAGGATGGGGCTGGTGGGCAGTGACACTGGAGGACTGACAAGGTCCGCTGGGGACAGTAGTGTACGGTAGAACGGGGGCACTGGCTGGACAGGATGCACTGACTTCAAGGAGGGGAAAAGCAGTGGGCTTTGCAGGGGTGACTGAAGCATAGGGTCTATCGGTGGGGTTGTGAAGCCCAGTGGTGGCCTTCCAGGGCTGGTGAGGGTATAGCCACCATTCTTGGTGCTTGAGATGACAGGTGTACCAGAGGTTGAACGGATGAGGTCCTTGTCACGGTTATTGCGCAGCATGGGCATGTGCAACCGTGGATTGGGATTAGCACTGTGGCGGTTGCGGCTGCGTAGTGAGCTGAAGACCATATTGCAGCCATCAATGGTGCAACGGTGTTTGATCTTCAAGTGTACAGCATTATAATGTATCTTAAGAGTGCCTTTATCATAAAAGGTCTTGCCACAAGAATTGCAGCACACACGACCCTTGCGTGAGGTGGATCCCATGCGACGCATGCGATGCATCTTGGAGGAAAAGGAAGCATGGGAGATGCTTTTTGAATGCTCGTCCTTCACGAAATGGTGGTGGACTTGGTGGTGGACTTGGTGGTCACTCAAACTGTTGGATTGCTGAGGTTGATTTTGGGACTGCTGTTGGCCCTGCTGCTGGAGCTGTGTCTGCTGTTGCTGCTGCTGTTGAGCCTGCTGGGTGGAAGGGGTTGGTGATATGGGTGATGCCCTGTGGTTGGGCTCTGTTTTGGGTTCAATGTTGTTCATGGCTCCCATGGCTCCACGACTAGGGCTCTGGCCTGTGCGGAAGGGTGACAGGGACACTTCTGACTCACTGGTGTCCACCTGTTCACCTTGGTTTGGCAGGCTGGGCTCCCGGAGCCGGAGAGAAGACTGCTCCATAGGCAGGGAATTGGGGGGCAAGCCGAGCATGGGGGCAGAGACTGGGTTGATGTATTGGAAGGGCAGGAGGAAGGCTAAGCTGTTGGGGATATTCTCAAAATGGTGAATGCTGGATGGGCTGCTGGTTTCCAGTTGTGTCAGAATCCCTGGGCTGCGGGACCTGTTGTTGCTTTCAATAAATGTCCTAATCCCGGAGTCTGTTTTGGAGGAGGGAACTGTAACTGCCTGACCTTCCTTCTCCTGAATGGCCATCAGTTCTACAATGGACTTGGTCTCTCCAAAGCGCAGAAACTGCTGTAGGGTAATGATCTCTTCTTCTCGGGACATGATGGTCCAGCGGTCCAGCACCTTGCCTGCAGCATCCTAGAGGCCCCAGAAGAGACAAGAGAGAAGACAAAATGCAAACCATTATTGATTGTGAATAATCAGTTCGGTCAAAGGAAAAAATAGAGCAAGGGTTAGTATTTAAGGGCAAGCTCCTCTGCACATGAAATTCAGATGCTCCTGGAGTGACAAGTAACAGAGCTTTGTCGAAAAACAACTTTTTTTTCTAGAAATCAACCCTGAGAATGTGATCATTAATGACAGATGATGACAGTAGGCAAGAGTCTAAAGCAAATAAATCGAAAGCACTGAGGTTGGGTGATTAGCAGCTCTCTGTGACTTGCAACATTGTGGGGAGACTGACAAAACAGCTTTGTAAAAGATGTGAACTCTTGCTATGACTCCCTCTGTACACAAACTGCACCTAGGGATAAACAAATTGTGTGAGCAAGAGAAGATATGGTAGAAATAATAGCATAATTAATGCAAGCCAGTAATCGCGCCTTGGTTGGCAGGCATTTTTCCTCAGTGTGTTCTCTATTTCTAAGGCAGTGAAATGCTTGAGGGAGGATGGGACTGCTACACTATGTATCAGGGAATGGCTTTGGACATTTAAACAGTAAAAACTCATGGTTAAGCTTGGGTTTGCCTATGCCTTGACAGTTGTCATTGAGCCTGTGTTCCTTTCATTTGACAGGCTGCATATTTACAGTATCATGCTTGTATAGTACTGAGGTCTAAAGGATCAATATGTTAATGAGGTTTGACAGATGCAAAACCGTAAATAATGTCATATTTAAGGTAATGTCATAATAATGTAATTCATTCATTTTAAGACAGTGTCAACTGATTATACATTTTCAGTTGACAGTGGCTACCAATGAAAAACGGCACATATGTGAACTTACAAACATTAACAATAGATCATTTCTAGACCATTTCTAATAACTCTTGGATTTTCTAGTTCCTGTATTTTGGAGGCTTAGGAATGGTGAGAAGTAAGTTTCCATCATGAGAGACCACAACAATTCCGCTGGGACTCAACGTTATTCCAAATAAAGCACTTTACTTTGTTGGTGTCGTTTGGAGATGTGTATTAATCATTGAAAAAAAAGAAACTTAGACTCCTTGCAAATGTGCACATTGTCAAACATCAAGAGATGGCAAGGGTTTCAGGTAAAAGAATATTGTCACATCCTGAGAATTTAGTTTGTGTTTGAACTACCATGTTTGACCCAGTGCATTACTTTCTCTTGTATGAACCCACATTACTTCATGCTTTATAGCACTGAGCACAAAATGCTTAACAAAATTGTCCCCTTACAGTAACTGCTGCTGTTGTATAAGATTCTATAATATGGATGTTTGCGTGAACAAGATAGAAATCTTGCGAAAGCGAGACAGAGAGACATAGAGTAAACACAGGTTCCCGGGGAACCAGGCTCAGTGACATCAAGGGAATAACGCAAGCGATGACAATTAGTCACAGTGGAAATGGTAACATTTCATATGTGCTCCTAGCTACTGGCATCTATAAAAGATAAATGGCAACTCTGGTGTGGAGTAAAAAGCTGTAAAAACCAACATCACAAAGCACAAAGGGTCTGTAAGGAGAAAACAGAAGATAAATGTTTAAAGAGAGGCAGTGAAAGAGAGATAGTACAGGAGAGACACAGAGAAAGAAGAGCAGAAAAACACTGTTTTCATATCATGCCCTCACATATACTGGAGAAATAGATTCTTCTGAGACGAAACATCAATAGTCACTGGGGTGTTTGTTCTTAAATATACATTAAAAAACATTTTACACTTTCATTCTGTGTGCGCTCTGGAGTTTTTGCCTGGAGGTATGACTTTAAATTCTAGCCTGGGCACTATTATTTTATACTGCATGGCCATCTGGGCATTAGTACTTCCATTCGATTTAATTGAAACAAAAAAAAATGAAAGCAGATTAGAAAGCGAATCTTTAAATAGTTCCACAACCAGAGCATTTCTTTAGAAAAATTCTTAAGAAAAGTCTTTTAATGTTTTCTAGTGACAAAAAAAAAAGATTAATTTGTGAGTGAGTGAGTGTAATACATAAATATAAACTCAATTTTAATGGTAGTTGCTTTAATAAATGTGAGGGATTAGTCTCAAGCTATAAGTGAGGTTCTGAAGATAAACTACAAAGCTTTGCAAGCTTATACACATCAACAAGATCGCTTGACCAAAATCTCTCTCCAACCCACATGCCGTTATCCAGCCCTGTCTCAATCACTGACTGAATCAAACAGGGTTCAGACATTTATTTTATCCCCTGCTAGTCCTAACCTGTGCCTCATGAAGTCAAACAAAAGCCAAAACACAGTGACACAGGCCAAACTGCAACCTATTAGTGTTAGGAAGGGCCAGCCAGCTGTCAGAACAGGTCAGCAGTTCTGCTATGCACTGGACCCTGTCTGAGAGGAGGCTATCCAAGCACTCCTAGTTCACTGGTCAATTGAGTTTTGGAGACGTTTGGGCCAGGCTTGGAGCACAGAGTCAAGACGTATTCAAAAAATAATCAAGAAAAGGATGTGAGATGACAAACTTGATTACGGTTCAGTTCATTTGGAAACAACTACTTTTTCTTAAAATCATGCAGCACCTCATCAAAGATACACATATCTAGTAGCAATGTCAAATTCAAGGCAAAAAAATGTGTTGATACATTTGCAGACAAACACCCTTTAGTCCTTACTACAGTACGTCTCACAACTTCCCTTTCCTGCATTAGCGTTGTGATGCTGTGAGAGAAACAAATATGCCATTAGAAGCACTTTTACAAGTAGGCACTCATCTTCCAATTAGCTTAATGTGGCCCTCTTTCCCCTATATTTTCCAAGCGTGCCCCACCTCTTCTTGTACACTCCCTCCAGTAAAATCTCATTAATCCAACCCTCCCCCATCTCCCCCAGTGCTATGACATATTAGTCTGTCATTATGCATCCCAGAGTCCTTTAAACAATACAGCTAAACCTCTGTTTGCCAGGTTAATGACTATTAGCCAATAATTACAGCAGAGAGACGATGGAGTACCCACTTTATCTGGTGGACAGCCTGCTGCTGTTAGTTTATTTTCTTCCTGCATCCATGTCTCTCAGAATTAATCTAGCACCGGCTGTATTTATTCATCTCTCTGCCGCTGCGATGAATTCTTAATTCATGGCTGTCTCTAATACTGTGATCCTGGATGTTGTGTAGTGGGTGTGTGTAGTGGGGTATCCGCCTTGCAAATTGCTGACAATGAGGATGAGCAAATGATGGCCTTGTCATGGGCCAGGGCACCACTGTCAGTTAAAACAAATCAGGCAATTATGCAATTAGTACTGTGGGTTATGCGCTGGGCTTAAGAGCCGGGGTGTGCAGCGTTGTTAGGTTGCATGGTGTGCATTAGGGATTAACAGCTTAACATGTATATGCTTTTCACTAATCATCACCTATCATACTCAATGATATGTATGTATGTATTTAGAAAGTAGTGGAGAAAAATGCCATGCTAGGCACACACTTAAAAAGATAGTAGCTATAAATACATCTTCAATAGATCAAGTGGGAGATCTCTGACCCTCACAGAGCTTGTGTCATATAACGCCTCTGATATTTACATTTGCATGTTAACATGTGTATAGTCTGTGTATGGTGATGCTACACTGGTTATACATTAACATAAGGGCAACTGGAACGATCATAAGACAGTATCACTTGCAATAGGATGGATCGGTTCTCACAATGGCAAAGTGAACCATGGGAACCACATTGATTCACCAATCACCTTTCAGTGAATGCGATCTCCACCAAGCCTCCAGGGAATCCCCATTGATCCCCAGTCCGGCTTTCAGATCCAGTTCCTTAAAAAAAACTGCTCTATCCCTGTGTTCGCCACTTCAAGGGAGGTTAAGCAGGAGTTCCTTGTGATCTGAGAAGGTCTTGAACCTTGGTGCTTCCTTTTCCATATTCTGTTTCTCTCCCCACCCCATCTCGGGCTGTATGAATAATGTAGAGGATCTAGTGGCGAGGGGTGCCATGGGGGAGGGGTTCACGCAAAGCCCACTGCCTGAAGCCATCACATCAGAGGGCAACAGCTCCCAAGACACAGGCTGCTCCCCCATTGGCTCCTCAGTGGTAGGTCAGAGGTCATGTGTGAACAACCAGCTCTACTTCTTCCCCTCTGATGGACCACAGGGAAATCAGTAGCTACGTCCAGATGCGGGTGGAGGACATTTGTAAGAATCATAGAGGTTGAAATTTGCACTCTGTGATCATGTTAAATTCCTCCTTTATGCTCTGCACATCAAAAGAATGTGTTGCTTTTGGATGTGACCTTGTGTACACCTTAGAGGTTTGATGTTTTCTAAACTACAGAAACATTGACTTGTAGCAAGATGAAAAATGTACTGTACATGGGCTGTCTGCTGTGGTACAAGATGACACTAATATATAACTTACAAGGCAACTGTAAAAACATTTGATCCTGTCATCAAAGACAGACAGAGCAGTATCCCTTTGGACCGATCAGACACAATCATGTCACCTTGTGGCATGCTTATTACAGGGACAGGCATTTTTACAGTTCCGTTCTTAGTGAACTGCCCCTTACTTCTTTTAAATAATGTCTACAAAAAACCAACAGAAATCTATACGAGCTTACAATGTTGTGTGGTTTACAGCTGTCTTTCTAAACATCAGATTGCAAAAAATAGCAGCCAAACCTGTACGTCTGCAGACGGCATTGATGCCTTTCTGTATGTGGTCTGGTTTTATTAAGTGACAATTTGCAGTTACACAGTGGTGGGAAATGAGATACACCAGATCAAACGGCTCAAAATCATGTTAAAGTGTATTGCATTTTACAACCACTTATGTTCAACCTATGCAAGCAAGCTTCAGTAAATATGTCAAATGCAACTGTTTCAACCAGCTCATATTCCTGGTTAAAACTTGGAACTCTTCTATTCAAGTTAGATTCCTATTTTATCATTTTTTTCCAACCATACGAAGGGAATTGTCTTGGT